ATGATGTTTCTGTCTCTCTCTCTCCCTCTCCTTTCCTCTCTCTGAAATCAATAAAGATATATTTAAAAATAAATAAATAAATAAATAAATAATAAATAATAAATAAAATGGATGACTCTTAGCTCTCTCTCCTCTTTCCTCTCTCCTTCCAGGAGTATGAATACTCATTAGTAAAAAAATAGAAAAATTAAATTCATTGTACATATTGTCCATTGTCAGAAGATGTCATTGTCAGAGGACTTTATTGAAAACAAAAGAAAAGTTCAGCCACATTAGTAATTAAAGAAATACAAATTAAAACTATAACTAAATACCACTTTACACCTATTTTGACTGTCATCAATAAGTCTGACAATTCCTTGGACTGACACGGATAGAGAGTAATAGGACTCTCATACCCTACTGATTAGGGTATAAATTGGTGTGATCACTTTTTAAAAATTAAATTTATTAGGATAACATTGGTTAATAAAATTATATAAGTTTCCATGTACAATTCTATAATACATAATCTGTATATTGCATTGTGTTCACCATTCAAAGTCAGATCTTTTTCCATCACCACATTTGACCCCCTTAATGCTTTACTACCCCACCCCCTTTTCTCTGGTAACCACCATGCTCTTGTCTGTATCTATGGCCTCTTGCCTGTTTGTTTATTTTTGTTTGTTCACTTGTTGCTTTCAGTTTTCTGTCCCACATATGACTATCAACTGGTACAGCCGCTATGGAAAACAGTACGATGCAGATTCCTCAAAAAATTAAGAATAATCATGTGATGCAGCAACCCCTCTCCTGGGCATCTACCTGAAAAACTCGAAAACATTTGTTTGCAAAGATATGTGCACCCCTGTGTTCATTGCAGCGCCATTCACAGTGGCCAAGACACAGAAACAACTGCCGTGCCCTGCAGTAGGTGCCTGGATAAAGAAGAGGCGCCGCATATATACACTGGTGTGATCGCTTTTGAAAACAGTTTGACTTTTTCAGTAAACTCCACCATGAACATATTACACTAACCAATATTTCTCAAAAGTTATAAATAGAAAAGTGGCAGCAGTCACTTTAAGACTGCTTGGTGTCGCTGCATTTACCTAAGTGTGAGGACTTTCTGAGTCTCCTTTGGATCAAACCTCTTACAGCCTGAATGTTTGTACTTCTTTCTTCTTGTTAGAAGATAATTTTCAAGAGAAGGAAAAATCATGACTCACATACAGATGCAATGATGAATATGTTTAACGAATTTATTTTATTTGTGTGATATGAGGGAACCAGGCAGATGTTACAATCAGTTCAGAGGAAAAGTCAAAACAGCACAGGCTTATTGAAATAAAGGAATGTTGAGATAAATTGTAAATGGAGACAAAACTGTTTATTCCACAGTGGGGAGAAAGTCAATCAAAATCTTCCCCAGACTAGACAATTTATGTATCTATCAGTTACCTACATTTAGAAAGAGTTGCAAAATAGCTCAAAGAAGATTAACAGGGCTAGACTCTGATAACCCAGAAGAGTATGCTAACGATAATGTATGTGGTTTCCCATTGCAAACTGATACCCTAGTCCAAATAGAATATTGTTTGGATCGCTCACACATGTGTTAAGGCATGCCTGACAGCTGGTGTCCCAGTAGAGGAAATCAACACTTCTTCTAAGTCAAAAGCCAATATTCCAGATTATTATAGACACAAGTTCCAGTGACCTGGAAAGTGCTGGAGGATCACAGGTCCCTGTTAGAGAGTCATAGATACTACCAGGTGTATACAATAAGAGCTAGGAGTGGATGCAGGTTTGGATGACTGTAAAGAAGCCTGAACTTGGAATTAGAAGACTTGGGTAAGCCTCAGGTCTTCTACTTACTAAGTCTGTGACCTTGAGCCAGTTGTCTTCTCTCTGGCTTTCTCCTCTATACAAACTAAGAATTTTATTGATGACTCTAAGTTTCCTTCCGGACTAAATGTTCATTAGAGTAGCCAACGAATTCCTTGCACAGATGGCCCTGAAGCAGTGCCTGGGCATGGAGAGTTTTGACACAGGACACAGAAGATCTGTTTGTGAGCATGAGGAGAAACTGCTGGATTTGGATGTCCTAGATCCCCAGTGTGCAGCACAGAAGCCCAAAATCTGTGGGAAACTTGGGAAGTTCAGTGACAGAGAAAAAATGATAAGAGAGGAAAGGAAGTTACCAAAGAATAGCCTTCTATCAACTCATGGTTTTGCACGTGACTTTAGCAACATTATAGGGAGTTTGTCACCAGTGTTGGCTCTGTCTCCACTCAGTGGTATCTAAGTGACAGCAAAAGGGAACTGGAACTGTATTAGGGTCCAGAAAAATAGTCCAATTGTGTGTGTGTGTGTGTGTCTGTGTTTTAGAGGGGTGCGGAGATTTCAAAGAATTGGCTCATATGATTGTGGGGCTGGCAAATCAGAAATCTGCAGGGCAGACTGGCAGGGGACTAAAGTCTTTTCTCTTAAGACTTTCAACTTATTGAATGAGGCCCACCCACATAATTTGCTTTATTGAAGTATTAACAATATTAATTATTTCTGACCAGAAGAACTTAGGTTTTCTTTAATTTTTCTTAGCAAATGTTTTGTACTTTTCAGTGTGCAGGTCTTACATGTTTATTGTTAAATTTATCCCTATGTATTTCACATTTTAAATGTTATTATAAATGATATTGTCTTTTCAATTTTAATTTTAAATTGTTTGTTGCTAGTATATAGAAATGCAACCTTACTAAACTCACTTATTAGTTCTGGTAGTTTTTTTGTAGATTCCATTGCATTTTCTACACAGACTATTGTATTGTCTTCTAATTAAGATAATTCTACTTATTCCTTTCTTTTACAGATGCCTTTTATTTCTTTCTCTTGTCTTATTACGCTGGGGGACCTCTGGTACGATGCCATGACCTGCCCAGACAGGCCCTAACTCAACTCCTGGTTATCCTTCCTCCCCTTAGCTCCACAGGACATCTTCTCTGAGCAGGCTCCTAGGCTTGGCTAAATGACCTAACATGGTCCTACCTACCATTCTGGGGTTCTGAGAGAGTACTGCCTCCCCTCAAAGATAAAAACACAGACTCAGAGCCTTGGATACAGTCCCAGGGTCTCTGAATGCAAATGTTTTCCAGCAAATTCAGCATTGTATCCTAACTTGTAAAATAATCTTGTAATGCAAAGATAAAGTTAAATGACTCAAGTGCTCATCTGGTATGTTTATTTTTTCCATAAACAGATATGGGAATGTTTGGCAGGAGGAAGGGACATATTTTATATTTTTGGTGATTTTTTTAAATAAGTAAAAACAGCTCTATCTTTAAAAGTCATTCCAAAATAACAGATCAGTCTTGTCTGAGGAATGGCAGGACAATCCTTTGACAAGGAAATTAGGTTTATTTTTTAAGCTTCCAAGGGGTTGAATTTAATTATAGATGGCAGCAAAGAGCAGGGAAAAGATCCTTAAAAGTTTTCAAAAGAAAAACTAAGATAAGGTGTTTCTAAAAGGACTCTATATTTTTTAAATGGGGAGAATAAAGAAAAGGATAGAGAAAACCCTTTTGTTGGTGTTCTTTGAATCTACCCAGAAATTCTTTTATCTGAAAGTATGGAAGTTCAGTAGAATAAGTATTTTAAGAAGACAAATGTGGTTTTGGTGATTGTATCAAGAAAAACATACCTCCTCTACACCTTGAGACAGATGTGCGGCTCAGCAGACAGAGTCAGCAGCGTTAGGCTATGACCACTTTGCTATCTATGGATTGCTTCAGATGGGACTTTTCAAGGCAGAGTCAAAATTTATACAATGGTGTTACCGGACTACAGGAGTTTGTTCACCTGTGGGCATCAAAGCCCAATCAAATGGGAACAGCAGTTTGCAGCAAAGAAAGTAAAGGTTTATTTAAGGAAATGGCACCAAGCCCAGAATCACAGGTGAGCAAATGCTCTAAGACCTAGCTCCCTGGTGGCTTCTAGGGGATGGGTTATATGGGGGGGGAATCATTAATCATAGTGACTAAGGGGGTTAGGACCATGGTTAGGCTTTGTTCCTAAGATTATTTGATGCTGACCAGGAGCTCACTGTCCTGAGGGCTTAATGATTAAGGGAGTGGACATGCAAGGGAGAGGGAGGTGGGTGAGCCAGGGTCCCCTTGGACTGGACAAGGCCAGTTTCCATCAAAGGAAAGAAGGAGAAAAGGTCAGATTAAAGAAATGAAGTTTTTGCACTGTTACAATAGAATTACAATTTTAAAAAGGTCCTCAAAAAAAATAAAATAAAACAGAAAAAACTAACAATCTGATCAAATATACGGTTCAAAAATGTCCTTTGACTTTTAACAACATGTCCTAGGAAAGAAAACTACAGAATTATCTTGAACCAAACAAATAAGTTACCACTGGCAAGTCTGTGGCACTAGTAAAACAAAATAAAAAATTCTCTTGATCATATAGATATCTCTATGAAAATCATTTTTTCAATCTGTACAAAAGGTCTTCATAAAAATTTAATGGCTATCTACTATGTGATGTTTGATTTTATTTACTTTTTTACTCTTCAGAGGTTATGTTTTCCAAATCTTACCCAGATGAGTATGGCACTTAGCTCAGATATTTCTAGCAGCAGACTTCCCCTCCTGCTGGAAATTATTTTTATAATAGTAATACTAACATTTTATGTGATGATCTTTACTAGAAGAGCTATCTAAATTTCAGCTTTCCAAAACTATTAGGTATTTTGTTTTTTTAATGCAAAAGATATATGTATTCAATATAAATTACAAAGCAATATCAAGAGGGAATATACATAGCAAAAAATATGAAAGTAGGTAAGAGCCAATAAGCATAAATTATGTATCTTTCACCATCTAGTACATTATTATCAATGCTCAAGAAATATTTGCTCTTAAAAAACAAAGCACGTCCATGGGCCTTGAGCAATTCTTCTATACTAAATCAAATGATGACTAAACATGTTTTATCTTACTCTTATTTTGTAGGTATTATTACTTGGCTTTCAGAGCACATCAAACACCTGTTGCTAGCAAAGAGAGCTGTGTCGCTATCTTGGAAAAGTCCAGATTAGATCACTGGGTGCTGGGAAAAACAAAGGTAATTCTCCCTTTATTGTTCAGATTGTCACCCGTGATGCTCTATGTACCCTTGTCTCTTGTCAGTGATATGAACGACTCTGTAGGTTGTGTAGCTTAGCAGACAAGACCCCAATTTAACAATAATCTTGGCTAGTCTTGGGTCAGGAGTCCCAGGACCTCAAGGACCAGAGGAGGAGGGTATGCCCTTGTTCTGCATATAGTTGGAGAGCCATTTAGCATTTCTAGAATGAGATCTTTGAGTTTATTTTAAAATGTCCCTTTTTTTTTAATGCTACTTATTTCAGCACCACATGCAAATACACAAATCATATTAATGACAATAATGAGTGTATTTTATAGTTTTGTCAATTTTTCATTAGACTCTTGTGTTATTTATTGCAAACACTGATTAGAAGTCTCATAGTGTGTAGCTTTTCATTTGGGAGAACATCACATCCATGCAGGATCCTAGATTTTTATGGTCCATTCTGAATTGCCCCGCATAGCCAGCCTTACCCTGAGTGGTGATGGCAACACTGCTGCTCCTCAGTGTAGAAATTAGGTCACTGTGGGTCATCTGGGACCCTCCCCCTGTGAACTTCTGTTGGCTAGGGGTCAGTTCTGTTGGTTAGCGTCTCTATTAGGCTGTGGGGAAAGAGACTAGAGATAAAGCTGAGAAAATGGAATTCATGGCAGAAATGAGGCAGACTTGGGAATATTTGGGATCTCCTAAAGCCTTATTAACTTAATCATATGGTGTATCCATAATCATAGATTGGCTCAACCTTAGAAGTGGAATTGTATTAGCTTCCAGGAAGTTCATAATATTAGCATAAGTCAAGTCACTGTAAACTGTATTTAGATAATGGTTTTAATATTTATATTAAGAATGTGCTGTAATAGAATGAGTGTCTGTTTAGGGGCCCAAATGTAATGCTAAAACTAATGTCTTGTTTCAGGTTTTTCTCAAATATTACCATGTCGAGCAGTTAAATTTGCTGTTGCAAGAAGTCATAGGCAGAGTGGTTGTGCTGCAGGCCTATGCCAAGGGGTGGCTTGGAGCCAGGAGGTACAAAAGAGTCAGAGAGAAGAGAGAGAAGGGGGCCACTGCCATCCAGTCAGGTAAACAGTTCTGCATCGTGGCATTTCATTAAGCACTGGTTCTCAGGGGCTTCTTCCCTCCCTTCCTCCCCTGCTTTCTTCCTTCCTTGCTTCAGCAAACGTTTATTGAGCGCGTACTACAGGCCAAGTCCTGTGCCAGGTGCTGAGGCTATAGCCGTGAACAAGACCACTATGGTCCCTGACCTCCAGATAATATACAAGCCATCTCAACACACTGTGGCGAGTGACAAGACAGAGGCAGTAGGAAGTGAACAGATGAAAATCCAAATCACACAGACATGTGTCCCAGCTCCCAGATGACTGACATGATTTACCCTTCAGGTCCGTTACCAGGTTTTCAGCATCAGAATTTCTAATGCCACTTCCAGAAGGCTTTTCTAACCCAGAGAGAGCTTGGAAACCAAAGGAACAGATCACTAGGCTCTGTCAGATGCCCAGCCCAGCCAGTACCTCCTTGCACACATGTGTGTCATTTATGTTACAAACAGCACTTGGCTCCTGTGCTCTTGATGAGTGACTGTGAAAGCCCCAGCCCATCTTGAACATAGCAGATGATCTCCTTTGTGCTCTCATAATGTTCATTCTGGACTTCCTGACCTCACTCAGCAACGTGGAGAGCTGGGACTCTCTGGGGGGAGCAGAGAGGAGAGGCGGTCATACTCCTGGTGGGCGGCTTAACCTCCCAGTTCTCTGACTAAAGGACTCAACACAGCAGCGGTGATTCCCCTCTCTTTCTCTTCTTCCCTTCGAAGCTCCATTTCCCTCTACCCTTCCCCAATGCAAGTGTTGTGCTGCTAATTATTCCCCTTGACTCTCCTCTTTGTTTTTCTCTCCTTTAACTTTCAGTTTATATCTTCCTTCCAATAACAAATTGGAACAGGTCAGGCTGTTCCAGTTCTTTCCTGCCCCCAAGTCCTGAAGACAGAGCTTCCTCCATGGGATGGAAGGACAGGGAACCTCCTCACCTGGGATAAGGATCCCTACTCATTCATAAGTGGATGCGGAGTGTTCTAGCAGCTCACTGCCTGCATGAAAATAGCTCCTCCTCAGAAGCATCTCAGACGCCAAGCTGAGAGTACAGAGAGGCCCCTCTTTCCCATCACTGCTCACGTATCTCTGCCTATTTTGTTCAGTGAGAAAGCAGGAGGGAGGAGGAGAGGGGTAATAGATTGGAGGGAAAACAGCTTATATCAATTCCCTGGCACGTTCTTAAATTAATGTCATTCCTAGCACATGGTTTTATATTTTTAGCCTGGAGAGGATATGATGCTCGGAGGAAATTTAAGAAAATAAGCAACAGAAGGAGTGAGTCTGCTGTTCATATTCAAGCAGGTAATTAAAACATCATTTTCATAGCATCCACTTGGAAATATCCAGTGATTAAATTCAGATGAGTTTAGAAAAGCTGAAAGGTTAATAATTCAGGAGCACTGGAATAGGAGTCAGGAATTCTATGGGGGTTTTGGTGCTGTTTCTTGCACACCCCATGTGTGATGATGATGGGAATAAGCCTTACTGGGCATTTGCTGTGTGCCACGCTTGGCTAAGGATGCTTGGAGTAGATATTCTTATATTCCCAATTTTATAGAGGGGGCAACCAAGTCACAGAGAAGTGAAGTAACTTGTCCATGATCACACAGCTAGTCAGTGGCAGAGCCAGCACTGGAACACAGGCAGTTTGGATAGAGTTCACTTCGCATACCTGCCAACTGAAAAAATTCCTTTCCCTCTTGTAGTCACATGGCCCTCATTGTGAAATGAGAGCACTGGCTAAAAAGGTCTGGAAGGTGCCTTCCAACCTTGGAATTCTCTGACTGTATGTTAGACCCATGTCTCAGCATCACAAGTAGGAATAGCTCAGGAACTTTCCCACAAACAGTTTCCCTCACCCAGGCCAGTATGTGGCTGAAGTGGTCCTCTGGACCCCATAGGGTAAGCACGAGGTGGCTCTTGTGGCTCAGCTTGGCCTTGGCTGCCTGAGCACTGTGAGCTCTAGTTCCTGGCTCATCAGTCCCCTCCTTGGTTCCCAGGTCACTCTGCTCTTCTGCAAGTGGCAATATCCACAGTAGCTATCACTCCGGGCTTCCTCTGTCATTTGAAGCTGCATATGACTACTTGAGTAGCTGGAAAAAACAGGCCTCAACATGCCAGGAGCTCCCAGAGCTCAAGACATGGGAGACAGAATGAGAACATGGGCAGTCCAGTGGACTCAGCAGCAGAGAGAGGGGTAGGGTTTCAGGTAAAGCCATGATTGAAGCAAACCTTTAAATCAAATGCCCACAACCTTTTCGAGGAGGTGCAGAACCTGGATCCAGGGATACTCCTCAGAACTCTTTTAGGCCACTATAGAGGCCTGACTGTCTTCATTCAAAACCAAAATATTTGGGAGGAACGGATGTCATTTAAATGCAAATGTGTAACTTTTAACACCATCCCCTAGGAATTCTAAGCCCTGCAACTTCAAAGCCTCAGGAGGAGGGATGCAATTCTAGTTGCAGTTTAAGGAACACAACTCAAAGTGCATTTGTTCCCTACTTGCCCACCTCCCACCACACACACACACACACACACACACACACCGTCCCCCTTCAGAGAAGATACTGGGCTGATTTCTGATCTTGCAGTTTGGCCCAAAGCCCAACATATGTTTTAAAACATGAACTTCGAGCTTATATATTGTCGATCCACTGAATCCAGTATGTAGGATCATAAATCAAATATTCCCTCTCTGAAGATCATGTTTGGGGGGCTCCCTATGTTGGTTGCAGAATGACACCAGGTGTTAGACAGGTGGAGCCAGACTGAACCTTGGTTCAGCAACCTTAGTACTTGAGTTCTGGCTAAGAAAGAATTCAGAGTCAAGACTCAAACTATAAGAGAAAGTTTATTTTGAAAGTCACAGAGGTAGAAGTGAGCCATAGAAGAAATGCACTTAGGAAACAAGTTACAGAGACAAAAGAAGGGCCCTTAGAGCTTAAGAGAAAGAGAGAGGCAAGGAAAACATCCTGGGGAAGGCAGTGAGGAAAGGTGTGGGCGTGCTCAGGGGTCGATCCCAAAGAATATTCATCAGCTTTCCAGGTGTGTCCCATCTCTCTCCTTCCTGTCATGGAAAAGTCCAACACTGTCTTCAGCAGGGCCAAGGCAAAGGCCAATGCCCAGAGTTTCTGCTTCATAGTCCTTGGAAGCCAGTCCTTAGAAGCCTGTCTCAGGCCCCAGGTGGCAACTAGACCCACATGATTGACTGTTCCCAGGTGGGAGAAAACATGAATGAACAAATGGGGCAAGTGTGGGTCCCAAGCAAGAGAGAAAGCTTTGTTCTCCTGGGGTTTTAACCAGAAGCTTTTACAAACTAGCCAATTAACTTCAGAAGTTTTTGCAGGGTCCAGCTCTGATGGGTCCAATAATTTCTTTCTCAGGTTAGACTGACAGGCCTCTAGGGTCAAGCACCACCCCCTACACCATTTTGACTTTACTGGGCATGCCCTTACCTCTCCCTGCTCCCCCTCCCCACACACAATCGTGTACTGGAGGGGGAAATAGAGAGATGTTAATCCCCTTGGAGAAACAATGCTATGATTCCCTGGGGTGTAAAGCTGTAGCTTCCTGGTGAAATAAACAGGCTCTGTGTGCCATACCCTTTACTTCCTTTCCTTCATTAATATGTATCTAACTACAGTAACACTTTCACGGTCCTGATCTCTACTTTGGTCAGTACCTGGGCAGGGGTCCTTAGTCAATGCAGCTCAGCCATAGCGTTGCTTGTCTGGTTCTGCTGCTTTTCTGAAACACAGATCAGCCCTAGATGTTATCCCTAGGGGTTAATGCTTAAGGGACTGGTCGTGCAAGGGCCCACATGGGAATTGCATGAGCCCACTCTCCAGCCCCTTGTTTCTCCTCCAAGGGGGTCTACCACATGACTAGCAACATGCCAAGGGAAGAGGTCAGGGGAGGGTTCGAACAGCATGACCAGCGATAGGAAAAGTCAGGGGGTCTAAACCTCATGATAAGCCACCTGCTAGGGGAGGAAAGGCCACCCTGGAGACGAGCCCTTGTTTTCCTAGTTTTGCCCATTGGTGGGCACCCAGGGCTTAGCACCCTGGTGACCTTCTGTGTCTGGCCCATTGTCCTTGCTCTGCTCATGTCTGTCTAACTGACCTGTTCACATTCTGTTATTGCCAAGTGAACACTGCATAAAAAGTCAGGTCTTCCTCATTGTGATATCAGGACAGACATGGTTACATTACCTCAGTGCAGCACCTAGAGGAGAGGTACCATGGAAGGACAGTTTTGTTTTGTGGAACCAGAGAGAACACATTCCTTTGAGGGGCTTCCTTCCTTTCTTCTTCTTCAGCTCTACAAATATCCCCCTTCCTTAGCCTGGCAGCGAGTGTTTCCACTTATCAAGTGGTTTCAGGAGCTTCCATGAATGCAGTGTGCAGGGGCGTGGATAGGCATGGAGACTAATGCCACCTCTCCCTCTTGGCAGTAGAGTGTGGCAGCCAGAGCAAAAGCGGGCTTTGTCACTGCCTTTCAGCCAACACCATGAACAGCAATTGAGGTGCTGGTGTCGTGTCAGCAGAAGAGATCCATGGAGAGGGTAACGACATTTGCCATTTTGCGGGCGGTTTACTTTTACTTGAGAATGTTTTCGTTATCTTCAGATTCAAAGCACGGCTGTGTTTATCTAAAAAGAGAAGCAATTATTCCAACTGTTCTGCTTTGGAGCTTGGTCTTCCCAAACATAACCCTCTCACTAAAAGCTCCTCTTCCTGCCACGAGGACATTTCCTAGCAGAACAAGCCCCTGACATAGTAGCGGTTCTTGTACTTCTGAGGCCTACAGGAAGAGGCTCGGGGATGTTATCATAGCACAATCTTTTCTGGTTGTTTTCTAAGGTTATTCTGTAATTTATTATTTTTTCAGCAAATCATTTTATTTGAAATTTTTATTCTGTAGAATGCATTTGTTTGCATTTCAAGTTCTGGCCCATAGTCTTTTTTAATGGTGTTGCTAAGATATGTTATATACGTTTAAAAGCAGCCCTTGAAATTTAGGACACATTTGGCTTACATGTTACTACGGAGCATATTGAAATTTGTTTTCCTTTCATCTCCTTCCCAATAAAAGCAGCCGCACGGCTTATCCCTTTAGCTTCCTCAGAACTTCCTCTCCGAATTCCCGATCTATTACGGCACATTCACATGCCAGAAACAAGATGCCTTTTCATGCTGTCAACCTTTTTCATCTGAAATGTAAATTAATTCTTGCTGGTATGCCTTGACAGAGATCAAAGTCCGGCATTAACCTTCCTGGGCTTTCGCGGGAACCCATCCCCAGGACCCGGCTGCCACTGTTAGGGGACAGTTTTCCTGTTATGGGGCCCTCCTCCAGGCAGCCCTTGGTCTACGAGCCACTATTTCAAAGACTCAGAGTCCTTTTGTAAATGACCTCATTATCACTTTAAACTAGGTGAGAAGTGATCTGCCTGGCTAATTGTGTGTGTGTGTGTGTGTGTGTGTGTGTGTGTGTGTGAGAGAGAGAGAGAGAGAGAGAGAGAGAGAGAGAGAGAGAGACAGGAGAGAGAGAGAGAGAGGGAGAGAGAGAAGAGAGAGAGAGAGACAGACAGACAGGGGGACAGAGAGGGACACAAGCTGCTGTTGCTGCTTGAACTAATTGTGAGCNAGGGAGAGAGAGGAGAGAGAGAGACAGACAGACAGACAGAGGGACAGAGAGGGACACAAGCTGCTGTTGCTGCTTGAACTAATTGTGAGCCCTTCACTCCAGTTCTAGAGCTTGTTGAAGTGGTTCTGACAGCGAGTGATCTCAGTGTGACAGAGGGAGGGACTAGGCTCCAGATTGGAAACCTCTCCCCTTTGCTCAGTGGGTCATTTGTTGCCTGTCAGTCTTTGAGGGAGGCCACATTTGCATTTTCAAAATAAACAGATGCCTTTCAAATACATGAGCTGGTGGTCTGGAGATCTCTGCGGGCCCAAACAGTTCGCCAGCCAGTGATCAAATGCTGGAAGAGAAAACAAGCAGAAAAAAATACCCTAGGTAGATGCACACAGATTCCCTATGGATATAGCAGTGCTCCTGCAATAGAAGGCCTTTATGAGAGGCGGGGACCTCGGGAGGGAGAGCTGAGGATCCCAAGCCAAAGTGCAGTCTATCAGTCTCCTTGGGGAGTGAGTGGGGGAGAGGGGGATGTAGGGGGCACAAGGGGGTGGCAACTTTGGATGCCATCTTGGTAAGAAGTGGCATGTGTTTTTATTATAGGTTAATAGTGATAATAGGCTTTTGCCATAAGAAAGCATTTTCCTTTTAACACCAAA